AAAAATAGGTAAATGATGAAAACAGCGCAAATGGTGTTACATATATTAATATAATGAATAAATGAAAAATATTTTGTATTTCATAAATTAATTTACAATTTATTGATTTATAATTATAAGACATACACACATCATCAACCATAATCACGCATTTGCTAGATTGCCTGCTGCAGCAATACTACCACTATGTTAACTCTTATACCTAATTTTCTTAACTGCGCACGTGTTTTAATGTCGTGTCACTAACGGGAACACTAAGATGACTTGATTTTGAATTACTGTCATGTTATTTCCAATGAGCGTAACTTTAGGCATTTCGGCATTTACTGAAATATGCTACTTATTATTAGTTAGGCTTACAGTGATGGACGTGTTTAGTGGATAACCGAAAGGTCCACTGAATAATCTCAGATAAGATAGTATAATACATACTCCAAGTATCGAAATGCACGCCATCGTATCGGGAATCATTATTTCGACATTAATTGTCACCATCAGGAATGAAAAATTATCCATATTTGCAAGCTTATATGCACAAGTACCAAAAGTGTTTGACCAATCAAAACATTACCCCTAATAGGTGACAAAGCTATGAATAAACTAAAGATCAACGCATTCTTACCCGACTGATCAAAGCTACCTACAAAAACAAAGAAAGCTCATTTGAAGCTTTCAGCCCATTGTTAAGCGTATAGCAAACGTTTCTTTAAACAATAGTATACTAGACCAATTTTGCGAACTATCAATAATGTTAGTATTAGAAAATATTAAACCTAATTTATTACTTACATTACAGGCTACATTATCATTTTCAAGTATACCTTGTAAACCTAAAACATATTGGAATAACTCACAATGTTGTATATAAGAAAGTATAATACATACTCCAAGTATTGAAATACACGCCATCGTGTTGGGATTCAATATGTATATGATCATTTATAACACTATCAGATCGTGAAGTATGTTTAAGTCTAGTTATTAAGCATCTATCTGTCTTACCAATATAATCACTGTTACAACCTGGACATTTAAAATGATAAACAACAGAGCTCCTATATTCCTTAGGGGTTTCATCTTTAGTAGATATAAAATGAGAGACACTTTTGTACTGCCATAATGTTATGAATTTTACCTTTTTAACTAAGTGTTTCTTTACTTTGTTTAAGCATCTACGTAAAATGGATTCACCTGCCTTTCCTAGATAAGGCAATCTAACCCAGAGATCTTAATCAAGCTATCATCAGTAGGCCTGTGTACATTTAGGTTCATTTAATTTATTGAGTACATGGTTAACAAACTTTTAAAGGGTACCCATTCCATGACATAAATTTTTCTTGAAGTTTATCGGGAGTACACAGTTTGTGGGCTCTTGAAACTAAACTACGAATCAAAGAAATGTTATGGTTCTGGGGGAAAAGCTATCATAATGGATATATTGACCTGTATGTTTATTTTTACGATATATACTCATGCTTCCTACGCTGTTGTCAAATTGTAAATCCAGAAAATGTACTATATCACTGTTTTCAAATGATTCAAAGGTAAAATTAATCTGTTTATGAAAAGCGTTAAAGTGACATAGGATGTGATGAAAATCATTAGGTTTAGCACTAGTGTGTCAACAAAACGAGTATAAAACTTAATAATACCTGATTCTAGAAATTTAGGAACAATAGGCTCTTCTAGTTCAGTCATTAAATATTGGCTAAAACTGGTCTAAGGGGTGAGCCCATTGAAACGTCGTCAGTTTGTTTATAGAATTCATTATTACACGTAAATACAGTTTTAGTACAGCAGTCCCTAATTAGTTTCCTTGATGTATTTTTCCTAAGATTAGTAGATATCAATTTCTTATTGTAAACCCTATCAAGAATTATAATAATTACCTTAGTAAGGGGAACATTTGTAAACAGAGATTCAACATCAAAAGATACAAAACGGTAACCTAAATTATATAAATGGTCTGGTATACCTTTAATACGGTCAGCAGCATCAAACGAATCTTTAAGGACAAAGTCATTAACAGTAAGAGGCCCTAATAATTTAGATAAGAACTTAGCTACTGAGTAATAAAAAGTACCGGTTGCGTTAATAATAGGTCTTAGAGGTGGAATATTATCAAAATTCTTGTGTAATTTAGGTAGACCATGAGCTCTGGCAGGCATGGTTGATACTGGACAAATTTCTTTGTATTCAGCCTCAGTTAGTTTTTTCTATTAAACAGTGTTCGAAGGTAGGACTGTAAGGAGATAAGCTGTGTGGTTAATGAACACTGTATTTAAAACCCTGTTTCTCAAAGTGTTTCATTACACGCAGGGTATTATAGGCCTATGTACTCTCAATTATTCGAGAGCGAAGCTTAGTGAAAAGAAAAATCACGTTTGGTGCGGCGCTTATTCGAGATCGGCGCTTATTCGAAAGCGGTGTTTATTGGAGGATTTACAGTATAGAATATGTTATTAAACAGCGTTTTCAAATGAAAACAAACTTTAATCTAGAAATCAACTGACCTTATGGGCAACACATTACTTAAATTGTGTTCCATATAATGGCATCACTAAGAAACTCTAAGAAAATTAAAATTGATTTTTATCCACGTATAATTACCAAATTGAATGGATTTACTTCCCTGGGGCAGTGTATGTAAATTTGATAACCCTAGATTTTAAAAGCTTATAGCAAAATATCCTCACCTGTTTGCAAATATACAATTTTTTGTATGTAACTTAAGTACCATGCACCCGGATGTCATCTATACGTATCGTGTTTTACCGAGACCGGATGATACGTTGTGGTTTTGTGGTATGATTGATTCGTTTCTATAAATCTCGATTCCTTTATTAACCGTTATAATGTCTTCACATTTTAGTTGGAAATTGATAACCGCATACAGCTGCTTCGCATACACATTTTAGGAAAGTGTGTTAAACTTTTTTTTTGTGAGATATTCATGAGACGTTATAAAATCATGATTAATTACAGCTCTCAGTTATAATAAATATAAAAAAGGATACTAACGAATTTAGTTCCACCTATGAGATGTCTATAACTGTAACAACATATTCGGCTATAAGTCGAACATGATTTTGACAGCAGTGCCGGGTAACGAAGTGTTAATACTGACGGTTATTGTATTCACAGTTGAGTTCACGACGGAATATTTCAGCGAAATGCATTGTTTGATATCATTCTCCCTTGTCGAATTAACACCATGAAACAATTAATTGCCATCGCCATTATTAAATCTACTTAACGAATCTGAGCAAGGTGTCTGGAGATACCTGTTTCGGCTCTAGATACGGTTAAGGGATGGCTTGCCTATAATTTTTTAATTTTTTCCATTGCTGTCACTGCAATCTATGGCGCACATTTCGCATAAGAAGATTGGACTCTGTCTCTTATAAACATCTAGATGTGTATAAGAGACAGCACATTACTTAAATTGTGTTCCATATAATGGCATCACTAAGAAACTCTAAGAAAATTAAAATTGATTTTTATCCACGTATAATTACCAAATTGAATGGATTTACTTCCCTGGGGCAGTGTATGTAAATTTGATAACCCTAGATTTTAAAAGCTTATAGCAAAATATCCTCACCTGTTTGCAAATATACAATTTTTTGTATGTAACTTAAGTACCA